AAATAATATCAACAAATCCCCTTCCTTTTTAACAAAAAAATCGGTGGAACTTTAGAATTTGGAGGCAGGGGTGTTCGGTTATTATTAACCGAAGAATCCAAATAGCCACCTGGCTACTCAGTGTCTATGCGCTAAAGGACAGACAAGCAAGCAAACCAGTCACACTGCAGTCAGTCCTCGGAGCCCCGGCCCCGAACCCGACGTGCCCTCACGGTGAGGGAGCGTGGGGCCCGCCTGCTCCCGGGCCAGGGGCTTCACGGCGCCCCCAAGTCCCAGCGGGGCACTGCCGCCACTCCCTGGCCAGCGCCCCGCCGCTACGATGAGACATCCGCACACGCCACCTCCTCGCCTTGTCATTAAGAAAGTGTGCTCAGGGCATCTTCTCAAAAACAGCTCACAGAGGTCATCCAGATGGTTCTAAGTGTCAGTGAAATGAGATTTTTTTTTCCCATTAAGAAAAGGCTTTTAAAGCACTTGGGAAAGGATAAGGCTCTCCCCTACGCAGGCAGACGGAAGACGACCCCCGGGCCCCACGGTCCATCCTGCAGTGACACGGGCGAGGCCTGGGACCACAAGGACTCACTCATTTTCTTTTTTAAAACTGTACCCATATGAACTCTGGGTCACTGTTCTGCTCACTCACATCTAAACAACGCTCTAATTTTTAAAATTTACTTCTGCCCTAGGTCTTCAAAAATTTGCCTTAAGCAAATTATAACAAAGAGTGAAAATAAAGCACTTTCACAGTAACTTCCCCTTTCCATGATTTGTGAACACATGGTATGCAGCATGTGACTATTAGTCATAATGCGTAAGTATTGTCAAAAGTTTAAAAAGTATCAGAATAAGCAGACAGCACTGGACTCCTCTTTTTGAGGATAAGACAATGGGTAAGCATTTATTCCCTGGTGCTATTTTATTAAATCCAATTTCTGTTGAACACTCAGCTCTTCTCAGGCACACTCCCTGGGACGCCACCAAAGTAGGCCGACGTACAAGCAGGCCTGCCCTGTATTAGCCACCCTCACTTCTGATCAAAAGTCGGAAATGTTCTGTCTGCAGGAAAAAGCACGGACCGCGAGCACCGTGGCTGGAGGTGGTGACAGAAGTGCACAGAATAAGGAGGGAGAAGGCAGCTCCCTGCCTTTCAAACTCGTGGCTCGGGGCCCTGAGGCACCCACGGGGGACGGGCAGGCAGGGCTCCAAAAGGGAGGGCACCTTCCCCGGCACACCTGCACCTGTCAGAGCCACACCCTAAGGTCTTTCCCTCAGAGTCGCTCCCTCATCGTAATCTGCCAGTTAGATGAGGTTTTTGCCTGATGGAAAGAACCTTAAAGCACGGGCTTTTCTCTAAAGGTCAGGGCAGGCATCCCTGGAGCGGAGCGTGCTGGTGGCTGGAACATGCCTTCCACCTCCTCGCTGCTTCTGCTGACTGGCTTCAGGGCCGCTCACCACGGCGAGGCCAGGAAAGGCAGACTCCCACTCAGCTCACATTCCCCTTGCTGGCCCCAGCTCTCCCCTTCACGAATCGCCGAGGTCCTGCCTCCTCTCACAGGGAATATACTAGTTGCGGAAACTGCGGGGATGTAAGAATAAAGGCAGCGTATGATCTATCACCTGCTGACGTTAAGTTATGGTCCCTGCAGAGTCAGGGAAAGGGCCGTCGTTAGAAGGAATTCAGATTTCTTAAAGCACTGCCCAACAGCAAAACTAAGGGTTTTGTTGCTTTTTTTGTTTCTTGGATCTCAATGTTTCGAAAGCAGGAGAACTTTTTCAACACACCCCCCCAAAAAATCCATTTAGTTTCCAGCTCCTCTGTGCTTCCTCTGAGACCTCTCAGAATAGGGAAGTCCCAAGACGGACGTAAGAAAAGGATGCCTCTGAGAGACCCTCCACCTGCTGGGAGGACCCTGATGTCGGCCGCATGCAGCCACAGGCACCCGAGCAAGGCGACCTGCCCTGAGTCTGGCTCCAGGCGCTTCCTGGTTCAGAGACACCGCCCACCTCTGGGGTCAGGTGTTTGGTGCCACGTTCTGAGAGAGGGAGGGAAGGTCCCACAGCCCCTAATGCAGGCTCAGCCCCACAGGAAAGGAAATACCTCCCGAGGCGCCCAGCACTGACACCCTCCTCTGTCCTTGTCACCTCCCTGCCCCCGGCAAAGCCAACGTGATCACGATTACCTTCGAAATGCAGAGCTAACGAGAGACTAGCACTCCAGGAGGAACCAGAGCGAAGACAAAGCCGCTGGAGGCCTATCAACCAGGAACTCTCTTGACCCTGCAGTCCAGCTGGCACAGCTCAAAGGAGACCTGGGTCTCCCCTGCGGATCCCAAACTGCGAAGGCAAGGGCTGGTTGTTTTTAACCACATGAAACATTCTGTCATCCACAGGATGACATACCGTGACTACTTTATTAATGGCAAAAACGAAGGTGAAAAAAAAAGCCAGAGAAGAGACACCTGGGCTATTAACATCAGATGACTCATGGGGACAGTGAAACGGGTGAATCCACAGCTGAGCGAGACTGGCCAGACTTGGCGTCCAGCGCGGCCGGCATCACCGGCTGGTCCCCTCCGCCCAGACGACTGTGCTTACTTTTAGACAAAGTTTTCATACGGGTTTGGTTTTGGTTTTGCTGTTCTTGTCCAGATAAATAGATTTCAGCCTGGCTAATTATCCTGCTGATGTGAAATCATTAAAATTAATGAGCAGATTGTCATTTCTGAAACTGAAGCCGAGGAGGAAGATCTCAGGCCCAGAAGCAATGAGCTAATGTCACCTACGTGGCCTACCTGAGGAGGTGCTTATGAAAAAAAACCTGCTCACCGTGGAACAGATACTTCAGATGACTTCAGCAGAAGCAAACCACGGCTTCATTCTGGGGGGAAAAATATGGTGCTTGAGCGGCTTCTCAATACAGCTGTTTTGCTTAAAAAGAAACTATTTTATACCAAAATTACAAAGAAAAACTACATTACTTTCCTTAAAAACAGATCTACAACCGCAACAAGACAAGACTGTATTTTAGAAACAATGAAACGTATCATGTTTCAGAAACTCTGGGCCACCAATGTTTTTCTCCTCATTTTCCAATAAAAAGGTCAGATTCCGCATATTTAGCTTGAAGGAGCCCCGACTGGGTTACCTTCCGGGAAGGTAAACCCCAGCCTCACGCAGGCTCCACGAGTCTAAACCAAGACAGGTCCTTTCGCCACCTCTGATTTAGAGATGGGCAGGCAGGCCCTGCGGTTCTGGACAACAGACCACAAAGGGCGTCACAGTGGGGGTGGGTCCTGGCGGGAAAGCCTCACCTGCTCTCAAAGCCGCCACAAAGGGCGCAGCCCCCTCCCTCTGCAAGGATGTGACAGTCAGGACCCTAGCAGCCAAGGACCAGCCACCCCATCAGAGCTTCCGGGGAAGCTGGGGAACCCGGACCCTCAGGGAGGCCCCCGAGCTACAAATGGGACCCCCAGCTCCCTTCCTTCCGGCTTACGGTCAAAGGAGCAGGGAAGATTTCCTTACCAGCACTCTACGCCTTCTGGATCAGTGCCTGGGCCCCAGGCATGACGCCCAGCCCTCAGCGGGCATCACATTGGGAGATGAGGCAGGTTCTAGGATGACACCGTTTGATTTGCGAATAAACTGACCTGAGGACGATTTGAGCAGGTGCCCAAACCCCATATGTGGTGAAGGGCTGGTAGCCGCCCGTCTGACCCCAACCCACACAAAAGTATCTAAGTTTTAAAAAGCAACCTCACAGTGACAGTGTTCTCAAAATAACACAGACTTTACACTGACTGGTGTTATTTATCACTGGCTTTCCACTGTTTTTATCACTTGTGTCTAGTAAGTAGAACTTCCATGGGTTTTTTCATCACTTAAAATTATCTCCCTCACACAGTGTTTCCATGCTACTTATTACATGATAAAAATCAGCACATTTCCACACCATCGCAGGTGTCAAAGGCAAGCTGTCCTTTTTTTATTGTTTCCTATTCAAACACCCCACATACACAAAACTGCTGAACGAGGTTTATGCTGTAAAACAGAGACTGAGATGAATTAGGTAAAACACTTTGGATTTCTTTCCACTGATACCACTAATCTAAACTGAAGAACAGCTATTCCAGTGAACGGTTTAATTATTTTAGAAATTACTGAAATAGATAAACAGGAAAACATCCCCTCGCTGAGTCCTCACCTAGATTTCAACCCATATGGACTTTCTGAAGAGAAATGACGAAGGAACCAAGTAAGTGGACTTTTAATATAAAAACCATTAAAACTACCAAGAAAACACTGAGATTTCCACTACAGAGAAAACGCTGTGATGGACAATAAACAATTAAGACTTAAAAAACAAAAACCAACACTGGAAGAATTCTTCATACATCAAAACTTACCAGATAAATTCTCAGTCTTCACGAGAACGACGGTGTCTCTAACAGGCACGTTGCGAACAGGGAGCCGATTCGTACACGGAGTGGGAAACAATTCTGATTTCACGACCTGTAAGTGGCCACCCTGCGGCGTCCGCTGAGCGAGTCTAAACATGCCTACAGCGGCGGCAGGCCCCGACACTCACAGAAGGACAGTCCCCAGGCCTGACACATTAGTGTGAACTCTGAAGCCACAGGAAGCGTGTTTCTCTCCCACGGCGGAGTCAGTAGGACAGAAAATCCCACCTGCCTTTCAGACCATGCGACCTCGCTGCCCCTCCATCAGCAGAGGAGCTGGGCAGTCCCCAGAACCACGTTATGCGCGCCGAGCGTCTGTGCCTCAGTGACCTGCCAAGCTCGCCGGTGCCACGTCACAATCTACAGCAACTGCTGATGACACACCTCTGATTGGGGACCACCATGGAAATACTCCGCGTTTATGTCAGACGCGCTGGCACAGGGCCCGGTCCCCAACCGCAGGTCGTCAGAATCGCTCCCTGTCCTTGAGGGGGGACAGAGGGACATCAGGGGAGGGTGGGTGGAAGGACTCAGCTGTGTTACCTGTTCCTGCTTCTCCAGCCACTTGTCCACCATCGGGTGACTGGCACTCAGGGATGAGCGAGCGTTGTCCCTCTGAAACTGGTTAGACCAGTTACTCGTGTCCCGCGGGAGGCTCCTGTAGTTCTCATCTTTCTATTCAAGAAGAAACAGAAAGTCATCTTGTAAAAACCAGACCTTGCAAATTAAGGATGCATCTGGCTTTTCAAAAGTAGCAGAAAAATGATTCCCTGTATTTAAAGGATTTTCCCCAAACCTATGCAAAACAGCCGACTGAGGACAGCCCACCAGGTCAGGGCCTGTCGGGGACAGCCACACGCGCAGGCCCGCGAGGGACCCAACGGCCACCTCCCCGCCAGGCGCACGCCCCACAGGACGGAAGACACTTCCATACCAGCCTCGCACTGTCTCCCAATCACAGCATTTTCTCACTCCTTCCTCTTCCCAATCTCAGAATAACTTTGTGAGCTATTTTATATAATTCATCAAAAACGTTTAAACCGAGGAAGACGAATGTGCCCTGTATTTAGACCCTCGTACTTCAGACTTTGGGCTGCTCTGTTACCTACTTCACGAGCTAGCTGTAAACAGCGCTTCAAACATCAAGTAGTGAAAAAGAATTATTCTGTCCCAATACGTGGTCTGCAACGCACACGAAACTGTTCACCCTGACATGCTTCGGACAAGTGATGTCTTTACGCAAAAACCAACTTGGGGGATAAATATTTATTTAGCACACCCCGGAGCAACCGAGGTACGTCCTTCAAATAAAGATTTCTAGCAACCTGCTTTGGCTTTAGGGCTGTAAAACTTAATTTCAATGTTCTGAAAAGACATGAGACGGCTGGGGTGCGCCAGGAAAGACAGCCAAACGTCTTAGCTGAATCACTAAATCCAGGTGTCTCCTAGAAGAAGAAATGTAAAACGTTACCCTCACTTCGCCCCGCTTTTACGCCAGGGCCCCACTTTACGAGAAGAACCCAAATATTCTCCCGAACAACTCTGTTAAGGGCAGTCTGGTTGTAAATGTCGCCCACACATGCTGACTCTCATTCTTCATGACTCTGCAGTGAACACACACACGGAAACAGAAGTGCAAGATCACAGGTCTGCACTGTGAAGACCTAGCGATGGACCAGAATGCTCCTTTCTGTTCCGGAGAATAAAACCTAAAAATGAACTGATCATCCCAGACCTATGGCGATACTGTGACATACGAATTTTTTTAATCTATAAATATTTACCAGTATAAATTTTAAAGAGAAACTTTGTGAGTCTTTTTTTTCTTAACTCAAGCTACAGAAAATAAACTTTAAAATTTCAACGGTAAAATTAACCATTAGCAGCAAGTACTTTTCACAAGAAAAGCTGTGCTTTTCCGGACACTGCAGCTCAGGAGGGCTGTGACGGGGAGTAACCACAGGTACAAGGAAGATGCTGGGAAGACCCCCCCCTCGCCCCGCCCCGGTCAGGGGTGAGGTAGTGACCTTGCCTACAGGAACGTGGAAACAGGAAAATGAGCTGAGGACGCAGACACATTCTAAAGAAAAGAAAGACGCAAACGAAGAAACTAAAGCTCACTGTGCCTCAAAGCACTAAGGCCCCTCCCTAACAGCTGAGCAGAAACTTCAGAGCAAAGCAAAGCTACCTGTTCCACAGGGACGTCGGTAAATCTACCGAGCAGAAACCCAAGCAGGCCCTAAGGGGCGGGAGAGCTCAGTACTGGCTGAGCCTCAGGTCCAAGGGGACAGGAGGGTGGGAAGCGGGGAGACACCCAAGCAGAGTCTTCCCGTGCAGGGTCAGGCTCCTCCCCCGGGGCAGCGGTCTGGCTTTCTATCCACTTTCCACCATGAAGGGTGGTAACACCATGAAGAATCAAACAGAAAAGAATGAAAACTCTGTCCTGCTTTTTCAGGGGGATGCTCAGGGGGAGGCTGGATTTCAGAGAAACCGGCCGATGGGGGAAGCTTGTCTTGTCAGAAAAACGCCCAGTAGTGGAAGCAGGGTAATTAAGCAAATTAGAGAAACCACCATTCTCAACTCCTAATGAAATAATTCATTCAGGCAACGATAACCCGTGGATGACAAACCGTTGCGTGAAAAGCTGACAATGAGCCGGGTGAATGCCAAGGGACAAAATGCCACTTGCAAAGGGAAAAATAAGTCTTAAGAGTGAAGAGGCCAAACACCACGAAGCTCCCCCTTCCTGGTGTGAGAGTGCGGGAGGTGGGCATTCCCTCCGAACCCCCGCCGTCACCCCCACCCTGGGGGCCCCTTACTCAGAACTCAGTCCCCATCTCCCCGAACAAGCTGGAAAGCAGACCATTTCCAAATCTCCTCCCTGACGCTTCCAGGCACAGGTCACCAGCACTAAAGTGTTTTTATTCTGAGTTCATGATTGAAAGTTCCAACAGGATGTCCCAAAGATACCTCAGAGTCAACAGATGACAATGAAGCTTGCCTCCCATGTCAACTCTGGGCGCCTCTGAGAAACAGTCAGTCCCCTTCACCCGCTTCCCCGCCCAATCCCCACAGCATCCAGGTCCTGTTCATCACCCCTAAGATCGCATCCTCCGGTGACACCCTAGCTCAACTCAGGCCACATCCCACACGGAACAAGCACTGGGGGAGACCAGGGGCCTTGGGACAGCCGCACAGGGGGCCACGGGCTGCTCGCCCGCCTCAGGGTCCTCCTGAGCCCGGACTCCCGGTGACATCTCTTCGGTAAAGGGACGCGCCACTCCTCAACGCCCCGCTCGCAAGAGGCTTTCTCCAGGCAGCATCCCGATTCTCAACAGGACTGACCACGGTATGCTTTCTGCTACCACTGCATTCCAATTCTGCTTCTCATTAGAGCTCTAACTTGTAATTTAGTTAACTTCTTAAATTGCTATTTCCACTAACACAGGGACACCTAGGCAGACGATCCCTAGTCACCTTTAAACTCCAGCACTGAACTCGGGGGCCTGCACCCACGTGGAGGGCTTTCGCTGGAACATTTGCTGTGCCTCCTATTTTCCCACCGTTTCAGCAGCCCAGAATTTTAAAGGAACATTTCTATAATTTGTTTTAAAAATCTATCAGGGAATGCTTTAAAAGAGGTATCATGACAAACTTCAGTGAAAATGCATTAGAATGACTGTACTTTTAAATTCATACTAAAAGATTATCACTTTTTTTTAATTACAGTCAGTTACAATGTGTCAATTTCTGGGGTCCAGCATCTTGTCCCAGTCATGCATACACATAGATATATTCGTTTTCATATTCTTTTTCATTAAAGGTTATTTATTACAAGATATTGAATATAGTTCCCTGTGCTCTACAGGAGAAATTTTGGTTTTTTAATCTATTTTTACATACAGTGGCTAACACTTGCAAATCTCAAACTCCCAAATTTATCCCTTCCCATCCTCTCCCCCCTGGTAACCATAAGGCTATTTACTATGTCTGAGAATCTGTTTCTGTTTTGTAGATGAGTTCATTAGTGTCCTTTTTTTTTTTTTAGATTCCACATATGAGTGCTATCATATGGTATTTTTCTTTCTCTTTCTGGCTTAGTTCACGTAGAATGATGATCTCTAGGTCCATCCGTGTTGCTGCAAATGGCATTATTTTATTCTTTTTATGGCTGAGTAGTATTCCACTGTATAAACATAACACAGCTTCCTTATCCAGTCCTGTCGATGGACATTTAGGCTACTGTATATATGACTATTTCAATTTAACGTCACACCTACAGTACACAATGTCTGTGGAAAATAATTAGTTCCCATTGTATCTAAAATGTAGTGTGGCATTTCTGCGTTTATGCCAATAATGACACGCAATTCGTATGCCACCACACAGTGATCCTATTAAGGTAGAGAAAGGCTAAGAATCCAAAGATCTGTCTTTCTGGACCCGCCCAAAATTCTGTAATTTTACATTCATAGAATCAACTTTGAGTATTTAGTTGGTAAGGAAAATAAAACTGATAGTCCATAACAAAGTTTTTTTCCTAATTCAATGCTGTTATGATAAACTCAATAACGAATTCATATATCAGTTTCATTCATATATTTAAGGTATAGGAAAAGTTGACTTAGATCATTTTAGTCATCTCCAGGCAGGTGAAGAATTTCTAAAATATATCACTAATCATGATGCAACATATCCATTATTCTGCAGACAGCATCACACGGGTGCTCCTAGCATTTTGACAGCGCTGCCCCTCACAGTCCCGTCTGAAGCCTGGACCGTGTGCACTCGGAGCAGAGTCCTACAGAGCTGTGATGCGCATCGACGAGGGGAGCACATTCATAAACTCTGCAACACACGATGTGCTTTCCACTGCACGTGTGCACCCGAATCGTCACTGTTTCCATCTGAAGTGGACATGGTGCATTCTATTTCCAATTTGAAAATTTTCTTTTCCCAGTGTAAATGATTTTTAAGTGATGGTATTTTTAACTATGTCTGTGCAAGTTCATCTACATTTTTCATGGACCAAAGAAGAGTCAACTACAAAAAAGTCACAATGTTTCTTAAATGCGTTTGCAAACCTTGTACTTCATAACCTAAAGAATAAAAAAAAAATAAACCAGTAAATTTTTGTCATTAATATTTTCACAAGTTAGAGCTGTACTTGTAATAAACTACAAAATGGGATTTTTCAATCTATTTTATTCTATGATCAAATTAATGCCTCTATCCTATATACTGGTAAACAAAAAAAAATCTTTTTCTTTAGACTCAAAAATCTAGCAGTAAGAACCAATATAGAAACCCCTAATAATTATTAAATTTGCTAATAATAAAAATTATTAGAGCAAAGCCACTACTTTATATCTAAGAGATTATATAAGAAAAGTTCCATAAGATACTACTTTTTTTTTTAATTATAACTTTAATCCTCCACTTATGAGACTGGCCCAAACAACCTCTCCATCTTCTGCACGAGGTGGGAAACTCTCCGTCTCGCCAGAAAAACACAACCGCTCCTGCTGTGATCGGGACTTCTCCTGATCATCGAAACGAACTGCCGCGTCCTCAGGTGTCGGGAAGCCCCCCAGGCCTGAATCTGCGGGTCCCTGGTAGCAGCGCCCTGGTTACAGAGTAAATCTCCTCCAGGGCAGGGAAGTAACTGTCCTCTC